TTCCGTTTTGGGCCCCTCACTACAAGAAGGACGTCGAGGTGATGGAGCATGTCCAGAGAAGGGCAACGAGGCTGGTGAGGGGTCTGGAGAACAAGTCTTATGAGGAGCGGCTGAGGGAACTGGGGTTGTTTAGCCTGGAGAAAAGGAGGCTCAGGGGAGACCTTATCATGCTCTACAACTACCTGAAGGGAGGTTGTAGCGAGGTGGGTGTTGGTCTCTTCTCCCAAGTAACTAGCAATAAGAGGAGAGGAAATGGCCTCAAGTTGCGCCAGGGGAGGTTTAGATTGGACATGAGGAAAAATTTCTTTACTGAAAGAGTGGTTAAACATTGGACCAGGCTGCCCAGGGAAGTGGTTGAGTCACCATCCCTGGAAGTATTTAAAAGACGTGTAGATGAGGCGCTTAGGGACATGGTTTAGTGGGCATGGTGGTGTTGGGTCGATGGTTGGGCTCGATGATCTTAGAGGTCTTTTCCAACCTTAATGATTCTATGATTCTATGATACTATACATCTTTTTTCTTGTTTTTATAGTCACATCTAAGTAATTGCATGAGGTCATTTGATTCATTAGCTACATTTTTCCAACAAGAGGAATATTCAAAGTAAAGCCCCAAATTTTAGCCAGTAACCTTCTGTTATGTTGGTCAGGCTCTGGTGCCTTCATGGGGTGGTGCAACTACAAGTCCTACACAATGCTTGAGAAAACACATATCTTCCTACAAATCTAACTGAAAAACACACAAACCTTCCTGTGTCCAAAAGCCAACTGAATTATGCACAGCATAATGCCTTTTCTTAGGCTAAAATATTTTCATTGCAAACACATAGATTATGATAGCAATCCTGACCACATAAAGTATGTCATCTAATTTTAGCATCAACAAACCAATGTGGACGTTATAAAATGAACTGGCCACTCTTCCACTTCATTTATTAACTGGTTTTGCTAACAGTCATGACAGAGAAAGCAGTTTTTTGCTTTTCATATCAAAATAGAGTTTGCATTGCTGCTAGTAAAAAAAGTCATTCTTTCACCTGGAAGGTAGTTTGATCAGATAACCACTAAAACACAAGAAACAGAAAGATCTGAACAGCTTAAAACTTCTAGAATAATTAGGATTCTTTCATTTAGAGAACTCATTGTTTGTCTCTAGCAAACAGAAGGAATTATTGATCCTTCATTCACTTTTCAGCTAATTAGATATCATCGCTCAGCTTCTTATTAATATGATACTCTTTCTTCTGGGTTCCTTGTATGTCCACCCTAATTAGCACTGACACGGAAAAGCATAGAAACAATCAACGCTCCCACTAAGAAATGTTCTGCCCAACTTGGTGGAAAATAGGCATCTCCCTGGCACGTCCTGTAAGATTTCCAGACCTCCTTGTTGCTGCAATGTGTTTGGCATTACAGAAATTGGCTCAAGGTCCATGTCCGATCATCTAGTCCCATCAGGGTTAATACCACAGAGACAGGAAAAGGAAAAAAAAAAAAAGGCAAGTCTTGATTATTGCACCTTGTTCCAATTGTGTATGGATCAAAGGGGATAAACATGCAGGCTGTAACACCATTTGTTCACAAGCAGTATAAACACTACTGATATGGCACCGTCTGATCTGCAGCGTTCCATCTGCCAGCTGCAAGAACGGAAAAGGGAGAGCAATTAAGAATATTAATCAGGGCTTGAAGTGCTGCATGATTCATGATTCACGTGAAGAAAGACCAAGATATATCAAAAGATAATGTGTTTATTTAAAATAAAATAGAAGCATGATTTCTTTAGTCCTGCATATTTATTGCAGTACATTTTTTCCCCTGACTGCACTGAACTTTCCACCAAATCTCTTGCACTTACTTTGAATAGTCAAGCACTTAGCTCAATCTGTCTCAGTCTAATTCAAGCTTCTGATTACTGATTATTTAGAAGCACTGAGTTAACATTAGAGTATTAGCAGTTAGATTATTTCCATGGTGTTCTTCATTCTGGTATTTAATAATTTCATTTCATCCATTCCAATTAGACTTTTCTGCTAACAAAAAAAAAAAAAAAAGGCAAAAGTCTCTTTTAGTTTTCTGGGTAAACATACAGAGTATAACTGAGAATTTGATTTTTTCTGTGAAATTATTGGAGAATATTAGCAAAACCACTCTACAAGTTTTATGGAGAATGATATCTTTTCTGTACAGCGGAGGTATTTCTATACAGAATTTTAGCTTCTGCTGAGGAACTATCTCCCTGTGGATAAGTGAAGGACAACATTGTAAAGATATTTAAAGTGCCTAAACATGCAGATCAGTGCCTACTGGAATTTCATCTCTCCATAAGAGACCTATACGCAAGCAGAAATCACAGTTTAAGGAAATAAAACGTCTCTTCAGAAATCCACCTGAGAAAACTAGCCTTTTGTGTGTACAAAAGCCACAGAAATAATCTAATACCATGCAGACAATCCTTTTCACTGCCACTCTCCAAGTTATGTGGCCTTCTTACTGTGACAGGCACTTGGGACACAACTGGCACTGCCAAAGCACAGCTCTTCTGCACGCATGGACCATGTCTCTAAGCTGAGGAAAAGAAAGGTTCAGCGTAATCTGTCCCAGCCGGCAGTTTGTCTCCAGGCCAGCACAATGCCTCATGCACATCATCAGGTAATTGGAGGAGAAGCCTCCAGTGCAGAGACCAACCCCCCAGACACTCATGGAGGTTATTTACCATGTCTCAGAAAGTTGTCCTACATAAGAAGCTGCCGTATCCAAAGATGGGGAAGCAGAAGGTAGCCCAAACTCACTGGGGTATTTATTGCAGGTATTTATTTGCAGCTAGTTGCAAACAGTTCAAAATTAAGATCAGAGTCCTGAGTCGAAGGTCTACAGTATTTTGATTCATCTCTTTTCCAGAAATAAGCAAGACTCAAGATTTTAAAGCATCAGGTATTTAAAGATGTCTCAGTCTGGAGAATAAAAATGACAAAAAATATTTTATGCATTTATAAGGGAGGGTTTTTGTTGGGTTTTTTCCCTGGATTTTAGGTCACACAACAGCTTGCACCTGTCAAGACAAATTAAGACAACATTGTATGCAATTTTCACATTAAAAAAATTATTTCCTAGCATTGAAGTAGGCAAAAACGAGTATTTATGAAGTTAAAGAACCTCAGAGAGAGGCCTTTTAAAAAGATTAACATGTTAGAAGATGATGATATGCTATCAAGCTCTGCAGTAGAAGTTTGATAACCCCAGGCTGCCTTTGAAACCATTCAAACAGGGGCTTTAGATGATTTGGAGCCATTTAAAGAAGGTCTGCATGCCATCTTTTGCAATAAAATAAGGACCTTGGCACTTGATGTCTTCTGTCATTAAAGACCAAAGTATAACATTAAGCAGGTTGAAATCAGATGGCATACTAAAATTGAATGTGTAGGTAAAAAAAAAAAAAAAAAAGCAGGGATATCTGAAGAAAAGGACACGGAAACACAACTTTTTGTGTGCAGACAATATGCCAGGAGGTAAATGACACAGAGGGCACAGCATGCGCCTATATGTGCCATCTTCACAAATGATCAAGGCTATTTGCAAGAATGCATGAAATTGAATCCTACAAAATGCAAGGGACAGGCTGGGTGTGCTGACTGCCTTATTCAAGTTTTCCTCTTAGGAAGGGCTGAGCACCTGGATGACCTGTTCTTTGCTCAAAGAAAGGAAACCTACATAAAAGAGATGTGTTTCCCTTTTTACTGAAAGACACATATAAGGAACAACCCTTTGGGAAAGTTCAATAAAGATTGAACAAGTAGCAAAGTTTATGCTAAAATTCCTCTGTGCTGGGGCTCTCTGAAAACAAATCTTTGTTTTTAAATTCTCTGGTCACATTTTTTTTGCTGCACTTCCCATTATTGCCTTTCTCACAGCCTCCAACCTAGGTCTGCATTAACCCCTTCTTCAAGCACAGTAAAAGATCTCAAAAGTTAAATCATTGCGTGAGCTCAACAAGAAGCTGTGTCCAACTGGATGTTGCTTATCTTCTGCCCTTTGACAGACAGAAATGTCCCTCCCCAACACCAGTAGTGTGCAGAGGTAGGGTTGCACTTTACAACTGTAGGGCTGACCATACTGCAGTAAAAATCCTGACCTAGTAATTATTTAGAACAAACTTCTGTTCTGACATACTTTGGGGTCACCTCAGAGAAATGTCACTCCCTGTCCCACAGAGTGGTCATCTGGGGTTGAGAGCACAGGACTGAGGCTAAGGAGGCAATTTCTTTCTATGCCATATGGGCTAGAGCAGGTAATCCAGAACAGCTTGTACTATGCAAAATCATGAGGAGGCTATCTGCCATATAAATTTAGACGACAAGTTCTCCAGTTCAGAAAGTCCCACATAATACATAGTACCTCCCACAGTGAAATCTCCATTTCTATACACATATATATATGTACACAGAGTAACTCTGGAATAACAGTAACTGAAAGCAAAATCCACCTTAATTGTTGAGCACAGAACAATGGCAACAAACTCCCATTTAGGAATTTAATCTCAGTAGGTCTTTATATTTTGAATGCCTTCATTTTCTTTTATTTTCCC